TATATATATATATGTATATCAGTGTTTGTATTCCTTTATTTCATTCTTTGTTGCATCTCAGTGTTGCTGATCTCCTGCAGCCTCTATGCAGCAGCACCCTGTGTATATGCACCCCATTGATGGTTGCATAGCATTTCTCAAGAAGTGTTTTCCATTGGTGCTGACAGAGGACCATGTCTGTGTAACATTCACTGCCTGGCCAAAAAAAAGTCACCACCTGGATTTAGCTAAGTAAATAGGTCAGAGCCTTCCATTAAATAAAAGGTCTAGGTTCAGCAACATTATGTCCCCAAAAAATTAGGTCAGCTGCCCCCCTACATATACTGAATGACCAGCTGTATCCATCAATGGATTTTTCTTCCCTGATGGCACATTGGGCATATTCCAAGATGACTATGTCAGGCATCATTGTCACACATGGATTGGCCACCACAGAGTCCAGACCCCAACCCCATTGAGAATCTTTGGGATGTGCTGGAGAAGACTTTACACAGAGGTCCGAATCTCCCATCATCACTACAAGATCTTGGTGAAAAATGAATGCAACTCTGGATGGAAATAAATGTTGCAAGGTTGCCACAGTGAATGCGAGCCGTAATCAAAGCTAAGGGTGGTCCAAAAGTAGCCACCACTACTGTAAAGTAAAGTAGCCACCACTCCAAAACTTGTAAAGTAGCTCACTAGTGTGATGGACTATAATTTTATATTTAGGGGGTTATTCACAAAACTGCAGAAGGCAGCCGAGTGAATAACCCAGCCGAAGTGAAGTGAGCAGAATGCTATTTGGCAGTTGACTACTGACTAAAATCAGACATACATCGGCTGAGTCTAAGTGCAGAAGGAGGCTGACTCAGCCGATCCAACATCTGGATTGGCTGAGCTGAAGCTCCGGCAGCTCGCTTGCTGCCGTTCGCCCCTATTCACATAGGGGCTGAACGTCAGTAAGTGAATAGCCGAATGCCACTGAGCAGCGTTGGGCTTGGCTATTCTGCTCGGTACCTCTGAAGGTACCGAGCAGAGTGAAAAAGAGTGAAATTAAAAATTAAAAAAGTTGATAAATAATTAAAAAAATTTAAGAAAATACGGAAAAGGTAAAAAAAAGTTTAAAAAAAAATGAAAAATAATTGAATTAAAAAAAAAACACTGGCAAAGATGCTGGCAAAAGAAAAACAATTGGGCGGAGCTAGCAGTGACAGCTAGCTCCACCCAACTGTTTCCTTTTGTCTGGCACCTGCCAGAGTCTTCTAGCCGGTCTCGGCCAATGAATAACAACAGGGCGGAGCCGGCCAAGACGTCACTGCCGGCTCTGCCCAGTTATTATTGTTTAATGACAGATCAGCATCCCTAGGTCATTTGGTGGATGCTGATCTGTTATTATAACTTGGCGGAGCTAGCCGTGGGATCGCGGCTGGGTACAGCCAGCTGTCATTTGCATGGAGATCGGTTCGCTTCGGCTGACCTTTCTTCACGCTTCGGCTGTCACTTCAGCTCAGTCAAGCCGAAGCATATGCTTTCGGCTCGGCTGAGCCGCTCAGCTGTCTTCGGCTGCTGTACGAGCTATTGTGAATAGCCTGTATAGCAGTCCTAAGGTTCCACTGAACCGAAGGATCTGAAGCCGAGTGATACACAAATAAGATACATTTTTTGTCATAGTTATGGTACGTAAATGCATTTTTAAGATTGAAATCTTGAGTTTAGTGTCATTTTAAACAATTTTTTTTGTTCTTTTAAATAAAGTGATGTCTGGGTGACTATGCTATTATTTCTGCTTGTCCTTCCTTTTTCTGGAATTTTTTGATACATTTTTAAGTGCCACATTGAAAAATCCAAGTAAACATTTGATTTGATGCCATTTCTAATTTTGGGTCATGAGTTTACAATTGTTAAGCCTTGCATACATCTATACAGTACCCTATGCATTTTTATTTTGCAGGGCATCTTGACATTATATCTAACTCCGGTCATGTCTTCCCATTATTCCATTTATGTCAGTTATATTTTTCACATGGTGGCTCTTTCTTTGATATCTCTGTTGGGGACAACTGGAAACGGTCTGGTCATCTGGTTCACTGCCTTCAGGATGAAGAAGACTGTCAACTCTGTTTGGCTCTTAAGTTTGGCAGTAGCCGATTTTACCTTCTGCCTTTTCTTACCATTAACTGTCACATATTTGGCCCTTAGCTATACATGGCCATTTGGAACCTTCATGTGCCACCTGAACCATCTCGTTTTATTCCTCAATCTGTCTGCCAGCGTCTTACAACTCACCGTCATCAGCATTGACCGCTGCATCGCCACCATCTTCCCCGTTTGGTGTCAGAACCACCGCAATGTGAGGATGGCTGTAAAAGTCGTTGCTGCCGTTTGGATACTGTCTCTCATATTTAGCATACCTTACTGCATAGACACAAACTCGGCAGGCCTAACTTCACTTTTGATTTGATATGTACCCAGAAGTGGTGGAAGTTTTATATACAAAGGTCAAGTAATTGTAAGATTTATTGGCTTTTTTATTATTCCCTTTGTGATCATTCTCTCGTGTTACATGGTGATTTTTTGGCGCATCCACAGAAATCGCATGACCACATCGACAGAGCCATTCAAAGTCATCGCAGCCATCATCGCGTCCTTCTTCATTTGTTGGTTTCCTTATCACCTCTTTTCCGTATGGTTGCTCGTCGCACCGAATGACTTTGAACTCCTCGTTAAGCTTCATGTTGGCACAGTAATATCTACTTGCTTGGCCTATGCCAACAGTTGTGTCAATCCAGTTCTCTATGTCTTCATGGGCCGTGATTTCAAGGAGACATTCTGGAGGTCCATCCAGTCCGCACTTGAGAAAGCATTCAGTGAGGATGCCAACCAACCTGAGTCAAATAGAAATATGGAGGAGCACATGTCTTCAGCTATGTCTGCCACAAGCCAGTTGTGAAAATTATTTGCTATAACATGATGTGTTAGGTGTGGTCTGTGTTTCTATAAATAGATACTGGAATTTAATGGATGTATAGATTCAGGGCCGGCCTTAGGCCTTTAGGTGCCCTGTGCGAGAAAGCTTTACAGCGCCCCTCAGTGACCACACCCCTCAGTGACCACACCCTTTAGTGACCACACCCCCGTAACCACACCCATTTTCCCCAATATCCGCACCATTTAAAGACTCTTATTTTGTTAAGCCGCAAAGAAACATTTTAAAAAGTATGATAAAAATAAAACTTTTATTCAAAGGTATTAAACTTGTAGGCACAATAGAAGTATTCTTATCAAATAAAACAACAGAAGGTAAACAATAAATGTCAAAATACAATAGAGTCTATAAAAATAAAGTGTCAGGTCGTCATGCAATCAGACGATTGCTCCAGTGTTTGTCCTTCTCACACGGAGGACCGGTAAATATCAATGATATGTACCGATCCCCCGCTCTGCCACGCACAGAGCCGCTCTAATCCTGAAACTGATAGGATGACAGTGGCTCCGATCTCCTACCCGCTCGGCCATCCTGACAGCTGCGGGTGCGGCTTCTCTCCCCCTCACCACTCCGCCATCCTGACAGCAGGCAGCGCTACCTCCTGCGCCCCCACCCCTGAAGTGGGGGAAGGGGGGGCGGACGAGGAAGCGCTGTGCGGCGGAGGGAACAGCCGCATAGCTCGCACACCCCTAAGGCCGGCCCTGGTTGCCATGGTGCCCTTCACCCCTAAGGCCGGCCCTGTATAGATTGTCATTGCTGACTCCTTTATGAAAATGCTAGTTGAATGGCTGTCTCTGGTTTCTCTACTCTCTAAGTCACTGGCACAGAGCAAGCATGCAGATAAGAATAGCCAAAGTGATCTCAGACCTCTGATATGTTTTGTCTTGCTGCTGATAGCAATGCCCCACCCTAATAACACCCTCATTTTACTTGAATGCATTTTTAAGATTTAACTCCTGATTTTGGCATCACTTTAATACATTATTTGTTATGAAATGTGTTTCATACGCAAAAAGTAAATGTTTTATCAATAAAAGGTTATTTTAGTATTAATATTGACATGATCAACTCTGATTTATTTATTTTTTGATCGGGGAAGAGTGGAACTTTTGGGAGGTTTTTTTTGTTTTTTGTTCACTTTAATTCCAGTAGGAAAGTTTAGACTCTCTTTGTACCAGTGACGCCCTTGTGATATCAGATGTCTTACTGTAATAGCAATATGTTTTTATTGCTGTTTCTGTTCTGAACACATTGGAGAGATTTCCAGCACCTCCTTACCATGTTGTCCCCTGGAATTGGAACCAAAAAACTAACAAACAAAGAAAGAGATTCTGCCCCCCGTCTACTAAAATACATAAATAAATAATTATTAATAAATGCTAATAAGTGCTAACCATAAGACCCTGTTCTCACTGGGGCGGTTCGGACACACGGATCCGCCGGCATGAACGATCCCATACATTGCTATGGAAACCGTCCGCGCCGTCCGAACCACCCCAAACCAAACTGCTCCCTGTACTATTTTTGCCACGCTGATCAGTGCGGTTTCCATACAGGTTTCAATGGAACCGGCTGATCAACGTGGTTTTGGGCATTTATAATTGCGTTTCAGCGCTAAAACGCAATTAAAAACTCCCAAAACCTTCACTTGCGAGATCAGCGTGGTAAACGCGCTGATCCGCAACGGTGTGAATGGGCTCTTAAACGGGGTCTATTCACGAAGCTGCCGAAGGATCTGGCCGTAGCTTCGGCCGATCCTTTGGCTAGCTTCGGCTCCAGGGCCCCTTCGGTTCAAAGTGTAAAAACATTGGTTGAAGTATTATTATTTAATAGAGCCATCAATGTTACTATTATTAATTTAGGAAACCAATTCATTTGTTTTTATTATTTTTTATGGTCGCAGTACATTTTTTCTTCTGTAAAGGAAACTTAGGTAAAAAAAAAACAACACTTTTAAATGTGTTGTCACTAACATGTTAACATAATAGGAATAAAACAAAAGGCTATGCCCACCATTTAGCATGAATAAATGAGATAATTCCAAATACTTTGAATGTTCTGTAGAAAACAGATACCATATCTGAACCACATCTTATCATACAAAGCTCTAACCATATTTTGTTATTCAAACGCAAAGTTTAGAAGTCTCATTCTTATCCCTTCATTATTGTGAGACAATATTTTTCAAAGAATCACAGTCAACTCCCAGTCCTAAAAAGGGTTGGAACAGAACCATTGCAGGATAGATGCTGAGGCGTCCTGGAGCTAGACACGGAGAAAACGTTTCCCAGAAATAATTTGATCTCAGGTAAGAGATGCAGAATCTTAAAAATGAATATAGCCATAAAATTTGGAAGAACTAATAGGGGACATGAATTGGCCATGAAAGGAAGATAGAGCTTATGGCATCAAATGAGATTGTAATTGCTATTTTTTAGGGAAAAGTTAAAGTGACTTTAAAGTCAATGGGGCTTTTAGGCTATTTCAAATGCTGATGCAATCTCGTACAATGGATGCTGCTTCTTGATGTTTAACAGTTTTAGTTTCCTGCAGAATTAGCTGGTCCCCTGAGCACCGCCCCTGATATCCTGTTTTAGGGTGGCTCTATTAAGAAATAATGTCAAAAGCACACCATAGTAGTAGTAAAGCAATAGTCCATTTAATGACATTGCCATTCAATGCAAGCGCTTTTGGGGCCTCAGGGGGTCCCCTTCATCAGGCTCAGAATGACACCTGAGCCTGATGAAGGGGACCCCCTGAGGTCACAAATGTTTTAACATTTTTATAACAGCCTCTATAAAATTGGGGCATTTTCCCCCTGCCTTGCATAGACATGTTATCCGACATTAACTTCAGGATGCTGCTATGCTTTTTTTCCTACTTTTAAAGGTTTCTGGATGGTTCTGTAATGAACATTGGCACAGAGCTACCTTTTATCTTTGTACCAAAAGATGTTTTATGTGAATCAAATATTTTATATGTAATCGGAGGGTTTCTAAATAAGACACCGTAAAAGCCCTAGTAGTGGTTTAAACAATATTTGTTGATATATTAGGGGCGTGGTGTCATCACCCAAGGGGTAAATACCCAATAGAAGGCATATTATCCTTTTAGAGACAGACTAATTGCCATTCAATGCAAGCGCTTTTATGGGCCTCAGGGGGTCCCCTTCATCAGGCTCAGAATGACACCTGAGCCTGATGAAGGGGACCCCCTGAGGTCACAAATGTTTTAACATTTTTATAACAGCCTCTATAAAATTGGGGCATTTTCCCCCTGCCTTGCATAGACATGTTATCCGACATTAACTTCAGGATGCTGCTATGCTTTTTTTCCTCCTTTTAAAGGTTTCTGGATGGTTCTGTAATGAACATTGGCACAGAGCTACCTTTTATCTTTGTACCAAAAGATGTTTTATGTGAATCAAATATTTTATATGTAATCGGAGGGTTTCTAAATAAGACACCGTAAAAGCCCTAGTAGTGGTTTAAACAATATTTGTTGATATATTAGGGGCGTGGTGTCATCACCCAAGGGGTAAATACCCAATAGAAGGCATATTATCCTTTTAGAGACAGACTAATCACTTCCCTCTATTCATTTAGAAATGTATTTTATCATGAAAGTGACTCTTTTTCTCTGAGATGGAAGTGTCTGCGTGCAGGCAGAGATAAATTGTAGCTTCAGCCAAAAACCTTTTGCTTGGTTATGAATACAGTGGGGAAGAGTTTGAACCTCTTTTGGGCTTAAAGTGACACTCAACTCAGGAGTTAAATCTTAAAAATGCATTTACTATGAACTATGAACAAAAATGTATTTTATGTGTGTATCACTCGGCTGGAGATTGGTCTGTGCCAAAAATGACTTCATATCTGAGGCATACTTGCATAAACACAGCAAATTAAACTCCCTCCTGAACCTTTTTAGTTTTGGAAAGGTTGCATTCCAATACATTTAAGTACCTAACTATTAACAAAAATGTATCTTATTTGTGTATCAATCGGCTGTAGATCCTCCAATCATCTCTGAATTGGTGCTGACACTGTCCTCCCTTCTAGAGGGGGGCTACTTTTGTCCCCCATAGTCCCTGTATGTATTGTGAAGTAGCCACCACTCTAAGATCGCTCCCTGTCATGGACTACAATCTCATGTTTAGTTTACTCATTTTTATTGAGATTGGAGTCCATCACGGGAGTGAGCTTGGAGTGGTGACTACTTTACAGCACACACAGGGACCATGGGGAAGATTAAAATTAAGTGGACAGAAACATAATATAATACCCAATTTTTTGGTAAAATATAAAAGACGGGGTCACGTCGGGTAAATAGATACCAAACAAGCCTTAAAATTGCATTAGTCCGTGAAGCCACAAAAAACATCAATACCCAAAATTTCCCATAGGGAACACTTTAAATGCTTTTACCAGTCAGTTTAGTGTTAAGAGTGATTGACAGCGCTAGAATTATTGCTCCCACTCTGACGTTCGCTGCGATTTGTAACATGTGTAGCACAATTGTCGTTTTCGCACATAGGCACACTTACACGTGTTTGCGTGTGTATGTGCGTGCAAGTGGGGGGCGGGGGACTTAAATGTTTTTTTAGTTTTCTTATATGTTACTTTAATTTTTAAACACTTTTTTTTTTACACTAACCCTGTTGCTATCACATAGGGGGATAGCAAGCACCCCTATGTAATGGATGGGGTGTGACAGGTCCTCTTAATGGAGACATCAGGGGTCTTGCAGACCCCAAATGTCACCTAGGGACCCCAAAGAAGCGGAGGAAGCACATATCTGCTTTCCCAGCTTCTTCTCCTGGCTCTAAGAGTGGGAGACTGTAATGAGTGACATCGGAAGTGATGCAATAGACATCACTTCTGGGTCCAGTGATTGGAGGAGAGATCAGTGGCTGTAAGCCACTGACTCTCTCTCCGATTGTTGCGGGGAGATCTGCCGCGCTGCTCCCGGGCGCCGCACGGGGACAGCCGTCTATAGACGTATTGCGACCCGGAAGTGGTTAAGAAGTGGTTAAGAAGCCTTTTGCTATTTAGAATTTAAACTTCTTTTACTGCAGGCATAAAGTATGCACCCTTGTCTTTTGCAATAACCTTAAACTGAACAGCTTTGCACCAAGTTTATTTTGGATCAGGTGGATCATTTGTGCATATACAGTATACACTTCATATGAAGTAGTCATGTGACACAGGGAGAAGATTTCTTTTACAAATGAAAAAAATAGTATTGCTTTTCAAGCACCTTTGTCAAGTCTCTAAAATAAAAGTGCTCTTATAATCTCCGATCCAGTGGTCCCTGTGTTCTAGCTTCATTCCGTTCCAGTACTGCAGCCTCCATTGGTGTCTTTGTCAATCAACACTTTAGGGAGTGCCGAATGCCTGTATTCCCACCTGACCACTGTGGTTCCTTCCTCCAACCCCTACATTACTACAGGACACAGTTCTGATATAGATGTTAGAAGATGGAACCATAGCACACGGCAGAGGACACAGGCACCCCACACTCCTAATTGTGTTGAATTTCGAAGACTTTGCTGCTGGCTGCAGCACTGGAATGGAGGCAAGTAGAAGACATGGATCACCAGAGAGGTAGGTGCATGTAGGCGCTTCTCTATTGTAGGGACCTGCTATTAGCATTTTTAGAAACATGACAGGGTCCCATTAATACTCATTGTACTAGCCTATCTTACTAATGTTAGTTTTTCTTTTTACAGATAAACATGGAGTCTGGAATGTATAATCGATCTTTTGAAAATGATACAGCATGGAACCCTTATTATTTCAACCAATCGGCTAATAATGACACTGTATGGGATGATCACACTTTCTTCTTTGTTTCAGAAAGTCTTTTTTCATTTCTCAAAGCCTTCTGTATACTTTGCTACAGTATCACATTTATTGTCGGGATTGTAGGAAATTGCTTAGTCATTTGGATTGCTGGATTTAAGGTGAAGACTGTCAATGCGTTGTGGTTCCTCAACTTGGCAATTGCTGACTTTATATGCTCTGCATTTCTTCCCGTCCGGATTGCCGAATGGTCTTTGTTCACCTTATTTAGTTTTCCCCATGAGCTATGTCTTACCAGCTCAGTTGTGTTGCTTTTTAGCATGTGCAGCAGTGTCTACTTCCTAACTGCCATCAGTGTTGATCGTTGTGTGTCCATAGTGTGGCCAATTTGGACAAGAATACACAGAACACTCGACGTGGCCCGTGTCATATCGGTCATTATTTGGGCTGTTTGCCTGATTTTGAGTGCTCCCATCGCTGCCTATTATTTTGCAAATGATTTTTCAGACTGTGCTTCGAAGGATACTCAGATGTTTTTCTCTTCTGCTGATCACCTCGTAAAAAGTTTACGGATCATCAGATTTGCTTTAATGTTTGTGTTGCCCTTGGCCATTATTCTTATTTCTTATGGTCTACTTTTTTATAAGCTGAAAAAACTGATGAAAAGAATATCTTATCAGTCCTACCGGATGGTGATCACTGTAGTGCTCTGTTTTTTCATCTGTTGGTTTCCGTATTATACTTGGCCATTCATGCACATCGGTCAGATTGACTACCAATTAGATAACTTGATAAATGAAATTTGTATATGTCTGGCTTACTTCAACAGTTGCATCAATCCCGTTCTCTATGTGTTCTTTTCCCGAGACTTTAAGGATAGGTTCTTCAAGTCCATCCCAGCCAGGCTGGAGAAAGCCTTCTCTGATAGGTACGAACTTAAAGGTGGTGAAGAAGACATTGGCTCAAACACTCTTGAAATTGATCTAAAAAACATACCAAAAATGAATTATTGATGTCTTTGCAAGAACTTAAAGCTAAGACTCTAAAGTGGTTGTAGTCTTGGTGTCTTGGTCACCTAAAACCCTTTTTTTTTCTAATCTACGTTTTTGCTGGGAAAAAAATAGTGATTGATTAAACACAATTGTGGGCCAGTATTGACAATTCAGTAAATAGTTGTATTTTTAATATATTTTGAAAGACTAATTATATTGTAATTTACATCTTATCCCTATAGTTGCCAAAAAAAAAATATTCCCCAACTCATTTTCCAGTTCAGCTATGTTGTCCTAGATTGTTCCCTTATCCTGTCTTCTCCAATCTCTTCACCCTTTTGTGAATAACCCTTTAAATAAAGGCTGAACATTTTTAACATTTACATGTATATTCTTTACATATGGTTTCTTTTACACAACAGAATTGTTTTGGTTTGTCGTATGCCATCTTCACACTAATACATTTGCATGAATTAAGTGGTTTTGCTAGAAGGGAAATCCTGGCTTATAATAGGTTATATTTACATAATATAAAAATGTCAATACTGCCACATTCTCATTAGGGATGAGCTCAGGCTTGGACCGACGCTGGTCCGAACCTGAGCTCCTCCAAACCCAGAAGGAAGCTCCTTCTGTGCTGCCCAATCAGCTGTGGGAGGGAAAGAGGTAGGATGTAGTGATGTCAATATGGTTGCATTGCTATACTTAGTAAATTACATTTACCTAATATGACCATATAATTTAAATGAGATCAGAAGAGGCATTCCACCCCTTTGTTTACATTGACCTGCGGGGCAGGGAATTTTTATGTAAAGCCTGCATCCAGCTTGAGCAGAAATTACATTAAACCAGTCTCGAGTGCAGTCAAAAGTATTAAAAAGGTGCTCCAGCTGCTGTACTCACTCAACCTTCAATGCAAAAAAAAGAAAATTGCTTCTGGTTTTTATATACATCTTGAAAAAAATACATACAGCCTCAAAAGAATATATACTGTGCATATATATATATAGAATGTTCGTAGCGGAACGAAAATACGTCAACGGAATTTCGTATTTCCTGCCTGTATTGTAATGCAACTCTCAGCAGCAGAAGAGAAAACCTCTGATTGGTCAACCAAAACGAAATACGAATTCCGTTAACGGATTCCGTATCCGAATTTCGTATTTTAAAAAAACTACCATCAACTCCAATATAAAATGTACTTTGCTTTTTAACTTCAATATAACGAATGTTCTGTTTTCCGTCAACAGAATTTCGTATTTCCTGCCTGTGTATTGTAATGCAACTCTCAGCAGCAGCGGATCCGTATTTCGGATGAAAAAAAAAAAATCTTGTCATGTTGTTCAACCTCATTTACAGGGGTAATATTAGTTCCTGTTTCAAAGAAATTCGGATCCGAAATTCGTTAACGGAATATAATTCGGAAACTGCAATTCGGATTTCGGATGCTTCCGAATCTCTGAATTTCAGGAAAATTCGAACGAATTTCGATTCGTAACGATACGAATCGCACATATATATATGTATTAGAAACTCTATTCTATTATTTGATAACTGTGTGAGCATGGGATCATGTGTAGATTCCGAGTTTTCCATCCAGAGATCTTACTATGCTAAGGTGCTTTCTCTCTATTCAAACATGGATTATATATCGCTTATATGCGCTTCATACCACCCATCTCTACACAAGCACAAATATAATATTGTCTGGCACTTTATATTTATTCTGGTATTATGTTCTTGCATAGCGCCACCCCTTTTTTGCTAAGATCTACCCAAGTATAGTTCTGAAAAGCTGAACCACCACTTTACCTGTAGAATATGTACGTAGTATACGTGTATGTATTATTGTTCCTTCCCTTAATAAAGCAATGGTGTATGAAAAGTAAAATGTGGCTGTTGGTTTTCCTTTTTCTTTCAATACCTCCTCTCTACGTCTCCCCTGCCCTTGACTTTTCCTTTTCTAACCTTACTTTTCCTCCCATAAATGTCCCCTCCTCTCTCTTCTCTCCATTCCATTCCCTTCCCAGTACCTCCCCTCCCTACCCTACTCATTCCTTCCCCTCCCCTTACCTTTCTTTCCCTCTCCTCTAATTTTGCTTCCCTGTCACTTCCTCTCCTCTCTCCTCCTCTCCTCTCTTTCCCTCAACACTCTCCTCCTCTCCTTGACTTTTATTGATCTCCTGTGTCCCTCCCTCAGTGATGTGCCCTTTAGTGACTTAGGAGGGACCAGTGAGTGCAGTGGGAGACATAGGAATTTGACACTCCCAAAAGTTCAGTTTTGTCAGCGACTTTGGGGCTGGCATCAAGATCAGCGAGTGTGCATGGGCAACAGGAAGATCAAGCTCGAGACTTTGACCAAAGATCTGTGTGTGTGCATGTGTGACAGGAGGTTCAAGCTGAGGGTTTGCCAGGAGATATGTGTGTGGACGTGGTTTACGGCAAAGAGCTACACTAGTGCGTAGGAATGCATTGGCTAATGTGCACACGCATGAACGAGAGGAGAGATGCTTAGTGGTCATCAGCTTCTCCCTCCTATGACCTGACCTACATGTTTCTTCCTTGTATTTCTTACCCCACTTGCCTGATACTGTGATATCCTGATTCCTGGCTACTGACTCCGGCTTGTACCCTGACAAAGCTTTCTCTTTACTGCCTTTGTACCTCTGCGGCCTGGCTGTGTCTGACCTTGTCTCCTATCCTTACTTCACTCCTTGTCTACTGCCTGTGTATCTTACCACCTGGCTGTGTTTCACTCCAGCTTGTCTCCTGGCCTTGCTGCCTGTCTGATGTCCTGGCTGCCCGGCTGTTGCTGATCCTGTTCTTTGGTGCTCTCCAGTTTTCAGACTGACTGCTGACACCTCACTGTATCCGGATCAGCTGTAGGCACCCATGCACCTCTGTGTCCTGAATACTCTGTCCCAACTCCAGGAGGTGCCCAACAGGAGGTAAAAGGGGAGCCCTCATATCACTGGGCCTCCACCAGGTACGTGACAGTAATACACAAAGTACAAACACAAACATTTCCAAGCACATTTACCAGCTAGCTTGGCCAAAAGAAAACAAATTACACTCTCTACAAATTACACAACTTTTGCAAAATATATGGAAGCCACACTGCTTTACCAAGACTCTTCTGTGTAATTTGGTCCTAATTCTAATCTATGAGAGCCTCTATCTTGGAGCATATACAGCAATAGATAAATGGAGTGCAGGTATGCCTGGAGAGATGGGCTACCTCCAGGCATACTTGTACTCAATGTATCTCCAAGATGGAGTCATGCAAAGATTAGAGTAGGGAACACACCACACAGAGGAGCCTTGGCAAGGCAGTGTGGCTTCCATATATTTTGCAAAGGATGTGCAACTAAAACCTCAGTTTTTAACATAAAGGCCTGGTTCCCACCAGACACCATGTGTTCTGGCCCGATTCTTGCCAGAACACACTGCATCGCATTGCGGCCAGTTTAATATGTTGTGGGGCAGGAGGGGGCGTGATGGTCCATTGAAGTGAATGGCACCGTAGCTACGCCCTCTGGCTGCAATGCGATCGGCCACACGGGAACACAAGGCACATTATGCCTGCGGTCTGGTCCAATCCAAACAAAATGCTGCAAGCACTATGTATTGGACAATGTGACCGAGGTCGGGGGAGATTCTGTTTGGTTCGGGTTCTAATTGGGCATATGTCTAATTTAACAGATAACAAAACAGCTACATTTTCATAAGAAATAGACAATAAAGAAAATGTGTGTGCAACGTTGCAGCAAACACACATGTTGAAACATCCTTTTCTCTTTACTAAGGTCTGTAGAACAGAAGATGAAGACACCAAGGTTAAATACTACAATTTCAGAATCCCAACCCTCACTATTCCTTCTCTGCATGAAAAGACATATTCTATCAGGTAAACATATCATTACCTGTTATTATTTGTATAGATGAATAAAACATTGCCCTTTGCTAATTTAGTCGTTTACAATGTGTAGTTGTCAGAAATTCTTTTAATTTTTCAGTAGTTTGCATTCAATTTACTACTAGACAAATTGACTCTTTTTTTTGGAAGGGCAAGATCACAGCTTTATTGATTGTAACATCATAATTTCACAACTCTTTACTGTACATTAATTTGTGCTGGTCATAGGTGAGCACCCAAACATCATAACTATACTGTATAACATAACATAGACCACCCGTCTTCACCGTCAGTTGTAGACAGGCATCCAGCCATCCAGGAATTTTCACCAACTGTTACTGTGATAACAGATTGAGCTGGCAAGGTCAGAAACTACCAACAAAGATGTGACAAACTTGAATAAAGAGTAAGGGTGGGTGGGCATGTTCAGCTTGCTGGTCAACTCCAAAGAGGCCAGTGAGCCTTCCCCTTAGCCTTTTTAACACCTAGCCATATCTCTGCCTATGACTCCATATTAGCAAATCAGAAAACCCTTACGCTTGCATCCAGGGAGGGGATTTTGTACTACCAACCTCTCTTAGTTCCCATGATTCCAGCAGTCAAGGTTCCCTTTCCCTAAAGGTCTAGTCAACTAAAGGTGAGATTGTAGTCCATCATGGGAGTGATCTTGGAGTGGTGACTACTTCACAACACACACAGGGACCATGGGTAACTAAAGTAGCCCCCCCTCCAGAAGGAAGGACTGTGTCAGCACCAATTCAGAGATGATTTGAGGATCTACAGCTGAGTGATACAAAAATAAGATTCATTTTTGTTAATAATTAAGGTACTTGAATGTATTTTAAGGTTTAACTCCTGAGTTTAGAATCACTTTAAGCTTTGATATGTTAATGTCATTTCAGAAGTCATTTTCTGCATTGTTAAATCTGCAGGTTTTATTAAAATAACAATAATAAAAAAAAAGAATAATAATGCTAAAAATACTATTACTACTACTACTACTACTACTAATAAAAATAATAATCATATTTTTTATAATACTCAGTGCTTTAGCATTTTTAAAATTTAACACCTAAGTCTAGTGTCACTTTAAAATGCATGAGAACATTGATTTCAGAACAAGGGGAAGAGAATACAATAGATCTTGTGTAAAGATGTTGAGGTGTACCACTGTCAGAACTGAGGTTGCATTCACTGGCAGAGATGGAAATATGCAAAGCTTATGTTCTGTTTATTCTCTGTTATCGGCAGCCAGTAGAGGAACTTGCAGAGAGGAGCATCTAATGATAACGACAAGGTGAGGTGGATGCCTAAAGGAGCAGAGTTTTCAAGAGTGGAATTGGACCAGTCTGTTCATTGGTAGGACATATCCTCCATAATGCAAAGAGAAAGCAACATGAAAACGAGCCCACCACACGAAGGACACAACTGGTTGGAGCTTGGGATAGAGATGTGGACATCTTACTGAAGAAGCCATAGAGAGATGTAAGAATCCAGAGGATTATTCTGATTATTAGACAAATCAATTTCGGATGTACTAACCCTTTAAATGTGATTAAGCTCTTATCATCTAGAATGTATTTTTGTTGCAACTAATTAATGCTTACGGAAAAGCAGAAGAAGAATTTCCTTATTTTACCCTGACGTATTCATGTGAGTTTATATGTCAGTAATTAAAGTCTGTGTATATTATCCTCATCAAACACTGATCCGAACAGAAAGGATAAAACAGAGGGCACCTAGATACGTAAGTCAAAGTAGCCAAAGCAATGTTTTTTGTTTTATTTGTTTGTTTTAATAATAACTGGAGTACAGATGCAAATTTAAAGTGTATTTCCACATATTTTATATTTGTTACATGTTCCCATTCACATAGCATATGCTAAAACAATATGTAAAAAATGCTTCTTGCAGTTTAAACTGCTTTTACTTGAGTTAATGTTTTAAGAGTTAACATTTCTACATGCTTAACTTCCTTTGCAATGTTAGGAGAGACTGCGAGGAGCGAGTTGCGTTAATTAAGTGAAGGAGAGAAACATAATCGTCTAATTTCAGTCCTAAGCCTCTCCATTAGGACAGATTTGGATTCTGTTTAGTAAAACTACTCCCTCTGATCGGCAGTGCCAAGGGAGCATGGAACCTGCTGTTTTTCTAATCAGGAAACCGGGTGGTGGGTCATGACTCATGATTCTCCTCCCGACTTTCTGATGATCTGGGCACACGGCACCGGTACTCAGTACTCGTTCTCGATATTGAAAAAACGGTATTGGTGCATCCCTACTGATAACCTTCTGTGCTCTCTAACTGTGCTAACAATGGCTTAGTGCTGACTTAAAACCCCATTAAACGTTCACCAAACCAAAGCATCACTGGGGTGCTTCTCATGTGGGGTACCCAGATGTCTAGCCTCTTGACAAAAGTGATCACAAAATAATTTTCACCAGTACAGGCATAGCACGGCCCGTCAATACCTTCCTGAACTTCTCATCACAATTTGTCATTTATGTATTCATATGTCCATGTGGGTTACAATATGTTGGGAGAACCATCCAAACTTTTCATCAAAGGTTGAATGTACACAGATGCAGCGATTAATCGATGTAAAAAAAATTTGATTAATCGAACACGAAAATTTTAATCAGTAACAGCCCTAGAATTTAGAAGACCTTTACTGAATGTTTATGGAGCCAGGAACCTGGCTTTGTATCTCATGTTTATAATAATGTATATGCTCCATACGGGACAGCACAGTAGCTTGGTGGTTAGCACATCTACCTTGCTGAGTTTATACCCCCGGTTCAGGTCCAGTTTTGGCCAGCCAGGGATGGCAGGGATGTTAAAGAGACTCACAGTCTCTTTAACAAAATTGCCCATTTTAATCCCAGACTGCAATAAACAAAAAAGGTTACAGGCATCCAGCCAAAAAGTAATTGTCACAAACAAAATTAAGTTCTGCTCCACTGAGCCTTAATGGGTATTAGTGATAGTCCTTTGAGCTGGGTCCATTTCCTCTATGGGAACAGTTACAGTCCATCCACAGGTCCCTGTCCTGCTGACATACTTGATTCCCAACACAAACACTTGCTGCTTACAGCACACTGTCTCACTTTCCACTCAGACACACATCTCCCCCAGCTGGGTCCAGCTGAACACTAATGAAGACCTGTGCAGTCCTCACCAAACTACGGTCCACGGAAATAAGAGCCTGTCCCACCTAGAGCTCTATAGGACTCCTAGTAACACCAGCCCCAGGACGTGTTTTACTAATACTGGGTAAAGAGCTATTTTCCTTCTAAGAATCCGTGGCGGAATGTATCTACCGTGAATCACCTTTCCGGCCAACCTGGCAGGTTTTACTGGCACCCTGTTACAGTATATACAACATCATTTACCGAATCTATGTTGAAGGCATTGGCTATTCTACTTGATTGTCCCCTAAACCCTAGTGGAATAAAGTTGTATCTGGACTATTTTAATTAGTGTGTTGCTTCAATTGCTACTTCTGATGTGTCAAGACAAGGATACTGTGGAGACCCACAGGCCAGTGACAGCTGCCTATCCATTAGCCAGATAACAAATATTCACATCACTATTAGATGACAAAAACAGTAAATACACAGGGATTCCAGCACTCTCTTTCTACCTACAACTAACTGTGCTGACTGTTATAAATTACATAGTTCCCAGTTAGCTCTGAGAACTATAGAACCACGTCCCTCAATGTTATGGATAATAACAGAAGGGCGGGTGTCTTTGGTCTTGTTTCCCTTGTCCTGATACAGTATGGTGAGTGAGTCTTGTTATTCTAGGGCAGAAAGTGTGTTACTGGTGGGATCACCAGGTGAAAATGAAGATAAATAACCTGGAAAATGAAAGCTAATGCCACCACCACATCTAAGGAATGAGAAGTTGCCAAATTTAACAATTTTGTTTTTGGGTTTAGCTATGCTTTGACTTTTTGTTTTACTGATATTAGTTTGTTAATAGTTTGAATATATGATAAACAAAACATGTAAGCCATCATGCACTTTTGATGCAGCAATTACATGTTGTTGAATGGGTTAGAGCAGGGATTGGCAACCTTGGCACACCAGCTGTTTTGGAACTACAAGTCCTTGAGGTATTGCAAGACCCTGACAGCCACAGGCATAACCCCAAGAGCCAGAGGCATGATGGCATTTGGAGTTTCCTCACAGCTGGAGTGCTGAGGCTGCCTACCCCTGGGTTAGACAGTTGGTCATCTGCATCCAGTGCATTGAGCGAGCCTCACTTTGAATGAAACCTATGTTTTATGTGCTTTTGCTCTCTACATTTTTGAGTATAAGGCATACTTTCACGCATAATGGATATGCTGTACTGACAATTTTTTTATATTTATACTTGCAGATATTTATTCAACATGGAAACCACAGATGACAATCAGTCCCATGAAAATTATACTGCCGGGGGCAATGACACTTTCTATGTTTCGTCCACTGTTTTTCCATATCTGAAGGCTTTTTGCATCACTTGCTACAGTTTCGCATGTATTGTTGGAATTTTGGGAAATGGTTTAATCATTTGGATCGCTGGGTTCAAGATGAAGACCGTCAGTGCAGTGTGGTTCCTCAACTTGGCCATCGCTGACTTCCTGTGCTGCTCCTTTCTTCCCTTTGCCATTGTAGAATGGTCTTTGTTCACCTTCTCTTATTTTCCTGAAGAGTTGTGTAAAATCAGTGTAATGGCATTGATTCTAAACATGTGCAGCAGTGTCTACTTCCTTACCATCATCAGCATTGACCGTTGTGTGTCCATACTAAGGCCAATTTGGGCAAAGCTACAAAGGACACGCAAATTAGCACACATTATTTCTGGCATGGTTTGGGGGTTTTGTCTGATTTTGAGTGTTCCATTCGTTGTCATTCACAACCTGCACCTTGACTTTTCAGATTGTATGGAAAAGTCCGAGCAAATTGTGTACAGTTCTTCAGATCGATATGTGAGAATGTTGCGAAAAACTAGATTTGCCATAATGTTTGTGCTACCTTTCAGTGTTATCCTTGTTTGTTATGGACTTATATTTCTGAAGCTGAAAAAAAGGAGGGGACCAAAACGATCTCAGCATTCCTACCAAATATTAATTGCAGTTGTGTTATGTTTCTTCATATGCTGGTTCCCATATTATACGTGGCCCCTCATCCACATTGGCAAAGCTAAATACCAACTGGATAACCTGATCAATGAAATTTTCATATGTCTGGCTTACTTCAACAGCTGCATAAATCCTATTCTCTATGTATTCTTTTGCCGAGACTTTAAGGACAATGTCATCAAATCAATTCCAGCCAGGCTGGAAAGCGCCTTCTTGGATAGATCTGAACTTCAAAGTAGTGTGGAAATGAGTGGATAAAATGGATGTAAATACTTTTCATTATTAGGGAATAAGGATGGGCTGCATGTTCGAAACCGAACACGGGGGTGTTCGGCTCATCACTATTAGGGAATACATACTCGACTTTGACTGTCTAGAATGATCAAATCTCATGATGACCATCTATTCACATTACAGGTATATGCACTGTGGCATGCTTCTTGATAAGGAAAACTTCATGTTCTCCAGTCTCCTATAGCAAGAAGACAAGAGGGAAATGAGAGCGCAAGGATCTAGTGGGATTAAAAGCTTTCACATCTCCCAAGCATGTAATTGAAAGGATTGGTGATTTTCCATGTTACCCTCAAAGTTGCATTAAAAGGACCCTCTCCCCACTGTTGTTCATATTTTTAAATATCCTTTTGCTTTGTTAAACACCCCCCATGGGCAGTGCCCAGCTCCCAATGGCCTTTGTTTGCCCCTGCCTATTAGTCTTGAAAATGGCCAGAATTTAGTATCAAGATTTTAGATTTCAAGCAAGATGCAACAAACCTCCTGCAAATCTGCCCCCAGGCCATGAGGCAAACTAGGCGTTTGCCTAGGGCGGCGCCCTCCTGGGCCCACCTGAAACCCCACATAGCCCACCATAGACCCCGCAAAGCCCCCCTAAGACCCAGCACAGCCCACCTGAGACCCCCACAGAGCCCACCTGAGAGTGTATATTGGAATGGCATATACTGCAATATTGAGACTAGCCTTCTGATAAAATGGAATGCCCCTGGTACAGCTGGCACTCACTTGGCGCTGTGAGGAGTGGGTGCTGCCCCTCTTGCTGTTGGCTGTCGGTGAACTGAGCTGGGGCTCCAGCGATCCCTCTTCCATGTCAATGGCACTGTGAGCTCTGTGCAGCCAGCACTGTGTGCAGCCAGTAGGGGTCAGGGCGGAGGCAGCCAGAATGGACACAATGGTACAGCTCGTCCCAGCTTCCCATAGCGCCTCATATGCAGTGTGTATCCCCACATTCTGATCTGCAGGGTCAATGGCCATTCATTCTTTACATGCTGCTGGTGTTCACAGGTGTTGCGCTGTTGGGCCCCAGCCCCCTCTTCTTCCCCTGCTGGGCCCCAGCCTCCTGACTGAGCCCGCCTCTGCCCTGGGCCCCATAGCGACCGCATGGGTCGCTATGGTGGTAGTTATGCCACTGTGTACACTATGGTGTGTGTCCTGAATTATCTCCCTCAAAATAGATCTCTCATTCCTACTTCATTCCTACTTTCATTGCATTTTGCCAGATACAGTTAAATGTTCACAAAAAAAGGATCAAATGACCCAGAATAGAGTTTATTTTTTTACAGGTATTTATATAGTTGCACATTAGTCCCTGCCCTCGAGGAGCATACCATATAATGTTCCTATCTCACACAGATACATAGGAGGCCAATTTAGACAGGAGCCAATTAACTTTCCAGCATGTCTTTGGAGTATGGAAGAAAACCCATGCAAACACAGAGAGAACATGCAAACTCCCCGCAGATAGTGTCCTGACCAGGATTTGTACCGGGGACCCTGAGTGCGGCAAGGCACAAGGGCTAACCGATACACCACTGTGCCACCCAAGTTTAAGCCAGTTAACAAGTAGTATTCTTGCACATCCTTATTAAATATCATTTCATTTTGTGTGGTCTCCACCATTTTGTATCATGTAATTTCCATCAATGGGCGTGAAGATAAAGAAAATCAGCGATAAGATTAGGAACCGTTTTTAACGGAACAAACATAGAAGATCACATTATTCCTCCTTGTGGCTTTGGCATTATGTCCTTAGAGAACTTCAACATGAACATTTCTCTCTTGAAAAATGAAACCTCAGACAACAAGACTTTGGACTATCAAGACAGGTAATTCTTGCTGATCAAAATTGAACATTGAACATGCATAGATGCTTTTTTATATAGATACATTTGTTGCATGGCCACACACGGACAGACCTTAAATAGATTTTGGTGAATATTCCGAAATCTACAGGTTTTTGTTATAACTGTTGTACACCTTAATTTGCCATTTTTTTTTCATTTTAGACACAAGATAAAGTTTCAATTCCTGACAAGATAAGAGAACTGGGCACACGTTTTAAGGGCTATTGAAAATCTCTCAGCTTTGCAGCATTTTATTGCATCCATTATGACTTATTTTGTAAATTCGACACTGCCCATATACTGAAAATGATACTAACCCTCCCCTTTGTGCTTAGGCAAACCAGCATGTGGACAGTGTTTGAGCCGGTGCAGTGTACAGAAATGACAGCTGCTGTCAACTGGTCCTAGGGTTCACATGTTTTTTTTTAGTCATGTATATTTTTATTGAATTTCGTAGAATACATAACAACTGGTGGTAGATGAATCATATACAATGGTATGCAATCATGCAGCCAGCCGGCTACATGTCGTAGGCAACTTATGCATTTTCGTCATTAAAACAAATAAAACAAATATCATGTGATTTTATATCCTCGACAGCCTTTTACTGGAAATAACAATAATGTAATGAAAGTAATATGAGGTAAGAAGTAAGGAGTAAGAACACCCCCAGAATTTTTTTAGTGTATGTTAGGATGACGTCAAGGGGCACGCGTAAGGATGTAGTAGAGGGGATAAAAAGAAGGGGTAAGGGGGAAAAGAGTAAGTTATGGACACACTAAATCATTGGTACGATTGAAGCGTGTATGGTTGAAGCATGTATGGTTGAAGTGCAATGCAATGAGTACCTGCTAGCAGATGGGAGTTCACCTGGATGTGGGCGTTCCCATGTTTTAATCCGAGGACAACCAAACGAGATGGAGGTGTTGTGAACTGGTTAATCTAGAGTCATTTAGTCAGAGCTAGCTTGTGAAAACATTGTCAGCATTCCGTTAACAGTACTGTAACCAAATTTTACATTTGGGAACTAAAAAAGCAGGGTACAGAAATGACAGTTGCTGTTCACTGGCCCTAGGGTTACCATGCCTTCATCCACAGACAACCAAATGGGATGGAGGGAGGTGTTCTGATATGGTTAAACCAGTATCATGTAGTCATAACTAGCTTGCGAAAGCAGAGCTAGGTTTCCATTAACATTATTGTAACAAAAATTTCCATCTGGGAACTAAAGAAGCAGGGTCCAGAAATGTCAACTGCTGTCCACTGGCCCTAGAGTTACCATGTCTTGGTCCAAGGATAAGCAAATGGGATTGAGAGAGGTTTTGTGACATGCTTAAACAAGTATCACTTACCTAAATTTCCATTTGGGAACCAAAACTATACTCCAAATAAGTACAAGCTTAACCCGCCTAATTATAAGTCTCCCTCTAGTCAGTATCCATATATTAGCATGGTGATGTCACCCTTCAATCAATGTGCTTCTTCCTAAGGACTTTCTATGATGTAGGATGGTTGTTCATTTTCATTATGTTCTGTGCTGCCTCTGCCATTTTGTATCATGTAATTTCCATCTAAACAGTAACTATAAAGACATTTATTGTAAGGTTTTATACTAGAGGTGCACCGAAATGGAATTTTTAAAACCGAAACGAAACCGAAATAAAAAAAAATGTCAGGCCGAAACCGAAACCGATACCGAAAATTTTTTTTATTTTTATTTTTTCAATTTTTTTAAATATTATTTTTTAGGCCGATATATCGGTGCATCCCTATTTTATACTGTATGTAACAGATGAAACCCACAAGATCATATTATTTCTCTTTTTTATAGTTATAGTGTTCCCTACTTTGAGAACTTCAACGTGAAAAAGTTTTTTAAAAAATCAAACCTCAGACAATGAGACTTGGGACTATAGAAACAGATATTTCTTTCTCATACAAATTAATTTATAATCTTTTCATGTTCATTTTACATACATAGATAGAGCTATGGGATGGACCAAGCAAGCCCCAACCATTATAGGTTGCCTGCAGAAAACTACAAGATGGGGGTGGATATAATACCAGTCACAAAAGCCACAGTGACCATTCTTTAATATTTGTTCTAGGTAAATAATGCCAAATAATAATATTCTTAATATACAGTAGTTGTTTCCCCAGTTTGCCATGTATTGCTGCATTTTGCCCAATAGATGGAGATGAAGAGCATAAAGAAATAAATATTTATTTCCTATGTGTTTCAGCTCCAACTATTGGCCATAATATAGTATCACATGACAATCTATTCAAACTGAGAAAAATGCTTTAAAGTAGAACTAAAGGCTATCCATTTTTTACCTTAATGCATTCCCTGCATTAAGGTAAAAAATGACCTGCTACCTTTGCTTGTTCCCAAACACTTACCTATACTACACGTCCAACGGCGCTGGCTCCCAGACGATCTACGTGTGTTGAGAGGAGGGATCCCGAGGCCCAGGGCCGTCTTTACTGCAGGGCATAAGGGGCACTTGCCCTGGGCCCCATAACGTAAAGGGGCCCACAGCAGCTGTCCCTTTCACACCCAGCGGCAAACAGAACAGAAAATGAGCTGTGCGTTTGAGCCGGTGGGGAGACAGAACGGACATCCGTTCTCAGTAGCAGCCAGCCTGTGAAGTGACCGGCCGTCCGTCCGTGTCTCCTGCTGTGATCTCCTCCACCGATGCCTGTCACAGAGATCCGGCAGGCACAGAGGAGAAGGAGGGGGGAGGGTACAGTCAGACAGCACAGGTAAATCTGAAAAAACAAACAGTTTTCTTTATCTTTATTTACACTTATCTGTATTTAACTTTACATCTGTCTTTAGCACACAGGCTGGGGTCTGGGAGCAGGACTGGGGAGGAAGATTCTGGACTGTGTTATATTTACAGGCATATCACTAAACATTTGCTGTAATGTATATTCAGTCCATGTGTTTAGTAATATGCTGTGTAATTGCAATACAGATTTTACTAATGTTCTGTACTACATGTAAATCAAACCATAAGAATTTAAATAAAAATCGTATTGTATGATTTATCAAGTAGTATAGAACAAATGTACCAATCAGTGGCGGAACTATCGCCATTGTGACCCAGGAGGCAGCTA